CCCACAACATACTCCGCTATAGATGGCATGGTATCGCTATTCTTATCAAGAAAGGTTGCCCTATCCGGGTGGTATCCTTGGTACTAGACACACAGGGCAGATTTTATACTACTGCAATGTCAATATGGTGATGTCTATATTACAATTATTAATGTATATGCTCCTAATGCTAACCAATTGATGTTCTTTAGGGATTCTATCTCTCTGCTTTTAGCTTCTTCACATCCCTTCACAATTATTGGAGGAGATTTTAATAGATCTAATTTCCCTGCCCCTGCACCACCTATATTTTGCTGGAAATTTCACTACATACAGTTGTTTGTGGATCAGGGGCAGACTGACCATTTGGAAACTCGGGCACTGCCCGAGGGCCCAGGGTCAGTAGGGGGCCCATGAGATGCCCCTGGTACCTTTTTAATAGGCTTTTTTGAGTTTTGGGCAAGGACACAGGGGCCCCATGATCCCTATTGCCCAGAGACCCCATGAGTTGTCAGTCCGCGCCCTGTTGTGGACTCTACACGTGGACATTTGTTTAGTATTATCACCATTGGTGGCACTTATTTAATGCCATTTTTCTGTGAAGAATTATGTTTATTTATCACATTGTGTCACTTTTAATACTCCTTTGTTGTCACAGTTTGATGTTTATTTATAAAGCACATTAAGTACCAAATTCAGAGACTCGAGCACGTTATTGTTTATTATTTTTTTCTGTGGTCACCATCACTTTTTTGAGACACTTACTGTATACTGTATGTGGAAGAACATTTTTCTGGTCCTGTTGTCTGTTTTCAGCTAGGTTTTTTCCTGACCTTCTCACCGTGCATCTTTAAAGGTAACATTTATGCCAGTTGTCAGTCAATTCTCAATACACAGACTTTATGGCAATATTTGTGCCATGTGTCTATCACTTTTGTACTTTGTGATTTGTGTCACTTATGCCTTGTTTAAGGGACTAATTTGTGGTTTTGCACAACTTTTTGATAGTCTCAGTGATTTATTTTCTGTTTTCATTTTTTATATGCTTGACACTTTTTTGCACAGTATTGAATGTATCTATTTATATAAGACGTCTTTATAAAATCAAAGACGGTGTAGTTTGTAGGATATACAGTATTATATATATGTTTTAGGACTATAGGCCCTATTTCCGGTAGCTCAGCACCATTTTTTCAATTCCCTTGTATTCTATCCAGGTGTATAGTCAGGTGACAGCTGCTTCCTAATTTTAGGTTATTATATATGTAATTTTTGGTTAGTGCATGTGGTTCATATACAATCTTTTGCCCTCAAAACATGTTTTGAAAACAGTCTACCTCCTTCCGTCAATGGATCAGAGGACATAAGATGTTTGATATTTGGAGAATACAAACACCCAATTGCTAATACAACACCCGAATGCTAAAACAGTTTCCGCTCTTCTCTCCGGTGCACCACATCTACACCAGACTAGATTACTTTTTGCTATGAACTCCTCTACTTAAACAGACAGTAATCTCCAATATTGTCCCCAGCTCTTGGTCAGATCACTCTTTTTTGGCATTAGATCTAATTCTAGATCGATCAACTTCACGCACATGCCATTGGTGCTTTGAATGACACACTTTTACATCAAGCAGATGTCAACACTTCTATTTCAAAAGCATTGCGTGAATTTTTTTAACTTAACATTGGTTCTGTGTCAGAGTCCTCAACACTGTGGGAAGCTCACAAAGTGTTTATTAGGGGTCATTTTATAATGGAAAGATCATGTCTTAAGAAGTCCCTGCTTCATCAGAAAACTGACCTTATGAACCAATTATCTCAAGCAGAAAAAAAACATATTGATTCGCCCTCTCTGTCTAAACTTCGCTTAGTGGTACAACTTAAAGATCAACTTAAGATACTTGAGGCCAGTTCTATAGCAAAGAAAACTGCTATGGATGACACAGAAGTTTTATCAATTCGCTAATAAACTGCATAGAATGTTGGTTAAAAGACTGAAAGCACACTCGACTACTTATATAGTTACATAGTTAGTCTAGCTGAAAAAAGACAAAAGTCCACCCAGTTCAACCATAGAAAAAAAAAAGTTATAATCAGGGGAGGATTGACCATTTGGGAACTCGGGCACTGCCCGAGGGCCCAGGGTCAGTAGGGGGCCCCATGAGATGCCCCTGGTACCTTTCATAGGCTTTTTTGGCTGTGATTTGAGTGTGGGCAAGGACACAGGGGCCCCATGATCCCCTATTGCCCGGGGGCCCCATGAGTTGTCAGTCCGCCCCTTGTTATAATCTATACCCACATTTGTTCCAGAGGAAGGAAAAAAAAAACCCCAGCAAAGCACGATCCAATTTGCATCTGCTGGGAAAAAAATTCCTTCCTGATCCCCCGAGAGGCAATGGGATATTCCCTGGATCAACTTTACCTATAAATGTTAGTATCCAGTTATATTCTGTGTATCTAAGAAACAATCCAGATGTTTTTTGAAGCAATCCACTGAGCTGGCCAGAACCAGCTCTTGAGGGAGTCTATTCCACATTTTCACAGATCTCACTGTGAAGAAACCTTTCCGTGTTTGGAGATTAAATCTCTTTTCCTCCAGATGTAAAGAGTGCCCCCCCCTTGTCCTCTGTGTTAACCTCAGGTTGAATAGCTCTTGTTAGGAATGGACTGGCCAGCAATGGTGGGACTCACCTGCCTTTTGATCTGCAGTACCAGGGCTGGCCAGCGGGTGCTCCCGGCAATCAGAGACTCAAACCTGTCAGCCAGCTAACACCTGGAACTGATGATACTGGGGTATTTAAGGGATGGCCAGACTTGCAGACTCTGCCTTGGTGTTGTGTTTGTCCTGGGCCCTGTATCTGTCCTGCATCCTGTTTCTGTTCCTTTGCTGACTTCTCCTGCTCTGATCCTGGCTTGTGACCCTGACCATCCCTCTGTCTGACCCTCTGTACTACGCTGCTTGCTACCTGTTCTGATCCCTGGCTTGTGACCCGACCATCCCTCTGCCTGACCCTCTGTACTATGCTGCTTGCTACCTGCTGAACCTGGCCTGTGACCCCGACCATTCTCCGCTTGCTCCCCCTGTACCTACCTGCCCCAATTGATATTGACCCGGCCTGCCTGACGACACTTGCTTGTATATACTGTTATCTGTGGGTGGTTTTGGTTTGGTTTGTTGTTTGCACCGTATTATGTTTTAGTATTGCACTGCGTTTATGTTTGTACTGTTAGTGTTAATAAATTATATTGTTTATAACATATCTGAGGTCTGCGTTTCCCTGCTTCAGTCACACACCTCTGGTCATACCTGGAGCCCTGACATTACACCAAGGCCAATCCTGACCAGAAGTGGCTGCACAGGGAAGCCATCTTGGCTTGTTGATGGGAAGGATGGATCTTGAGGAGGTTGAGTATTTATATCTGCTAGTGTTTGATGACAGGGAGTATGCTTATCAAACTCTGAAGGAGTATACCCGGGATGAATTGCTAGAATGTATATGGCTCGCTCATGTTCTAGTAGATCAGGGCACAGTGTTCTGTGAGGTGCAGCCATTGATTGAGGTTTGTGCAGAGTTGGTTTCATCTGGTTTCCCCCGAAATGCAGGGATGAATTTTTGCCACCATTTAGTGCAGACCAGGTAGAGTCCCTGGTGTGGTTATTAGAGGATGATGTGGGTTACTTTCTGGAGCGTTATTCCACATGTTCACCACAGACACTGAGAGATTGTATAAACGCAGTGCAGTCATTGACCAGACAGACTTTGTGTAAGCTCAGCTTTGTTCAACCCCTACTGCAGACATGGACAGATTTGTTGCACCCAGCCTCAGTCAGCTTACAAAGACCCAGTCCTGCTTCTAACTCTACTCCTGTATTCCCACCAGCTCCTCCAGTTACAGCCCAGTATACTTGGCTATCTACCGCATGTCAGTACCCTGTTCCCACTCGCTGCACCTATCCTGCCTTTAACCCTGTAAAAAAGCCCTCTGTAGCAACTGCTCCCTCTCCTGTTCCATCCTCCAGTTCTTCTCTGTCTCCAGCTGCTCCATTCGTTTGCAGACCTGCGTTTACTTGCAGTGCTCCAGTAGTTAAAACCAGAAAAAAGCGAAAATTCTTTCCAACCAATACCATCCTGCCAGTATCCAAACCGGTGAGCCTGCCTTCCGTGGTTCAGACTGATGCCTGTACGCAGCCTGATGCCTCTACTCGGCCTGAAGCCTCTACTCGGCCTGAAGCCTCTACTCGGCCTGATGCCTCTACTCGGCCTGATGCCTCTACTCGGCCTGATGCCTCTACTCGGCCTGAAGCCTTACGCGGCCTGAAGCCTCTACGCGGCCTGAAGCCTCTACGCGGCCTGAAGCCTCTACGCGGCCTGAAGCCTCTACTCGGCCTGAAGCCTCTACACGGCCTGAAGCCTCTACGCGGCCTGATGCCTGTACTCGGCCTGAAGCCTCTACTCGGCCTGATGCCTCTACTCGGCCTGATGCCTCTACTCGGCCTGAAGCCTCTACTCGGCCTAATGCCTCTACCCAGCATGATGAACTGATCCAGCCTGACGATCCTATTAGGCCAGTTGAATCGATGCCCGCTGTTGATCCAGATGATCCGGTTACCTGATCGGTGCCCGCTGTCGTGCCAATTGACTCAGAGCCCGCTGTCGTACCTGGTGACTCGGTGCCCACTGCCTTGCCAGATGACGCGGTGCCCGCTGGCAAGCCAAATGACCTGATGCCTGGTGACCTAGTGTCCGCTGTCATACCTGATGACCCGATGCCCGCTGTCGAGCCAGACAATCCGGTACCTGATGACCCGGTGCCCACTGTCGTGCCTGTTGACTCGGAGACCACTGCCTTGCCAGATGACGCGGTGCCCGCTGTCGAGCCAAATGACCTGATGCCTGGTGACCCGATGCCCGCTGTCCAGTCAGACGATCCAATGTCTGACCCCAGTGCCCGCGGTCATACCAGTTGACTCGGAGCCCACTGCCTTGCCAGATGACGCGGTGTGTTGCCCCGCGGTCGAGCCAAATGACCTGATGCCTGGTGACCCGATGCCTGCTGTCCAGCCAGACGATCCAATGTCTGACCCAGTGCCCGCGGTCATACCAGTTGACTCGGAGCCCACTGCCTTGCCAGATGACGCGGTGCCCGCTGTCGAGCCAAATGACCTGATGCCCTGGTGACCCGATGCCCGCTGTCCAGCCAGACCATCCAATGTCTGACCCAGTGCCTGCGGTCATACCAGTTGACTCGGAGCCCACTGTCGTGCCTGGGTGTCTCGGTGCCCGCCGCTCCGCCTGGGGGCCCGAGACCTGTGCTCCGCTTGGGGGTCCAGCGGCGCCCGCCGCTCCGCCTGGGGATCCGGCGCCCGCCGCCCGCCTGGGGGCCTGAGACCTGTCGCTCCGCCTGAGGGCCCGAGACCTGTCGCTCCGCCTGGGGGTCCGGCACCTGCCACTCCGCTTGAGGGCCCGAGACCTGTCGCTCCTCCTGGGGGTCCGGCGCCCGCCGCTCCGCCTGAGGGCCCGAGACCTGTCGCTCCACCTGGGGGTCCGGCGCCCGCCGCTCCGCCTGAGGGCCCGAGACCTGTCGCTCCTCCTGGGGGTCCGGCGCCCGCCGCTCCGCCTGAGGGCCCGAGACCTGTCGCTCCTCCTGGGGGTCCGGCGCCCGCCGCTCCGCCTGAGGGCCCGAGACCTGTCGCTCCTCCTGGGGGGTCCGGCGCCCGCCGCTCCGCCTGAGGGCCCGAGACCTGTCGCTCCGCCTGGGGGTCCGGCGCCCGCCGCCGCTCCGCCTGAGGGCCCGAGACCTGTCGCTCCACCTGGGGGTCCGGCGCCCCCGCTCCGCCTGAGGGCCCGAGACCTGTCGCTCCTCCTGGGGGTCCGGCGCCCGCCGCTCCGCCTGGGGGCCCGATGCCTGTCGCCCCGCCTGGGGGCCCGAATGCCCGTCGCCCCGCCTGGGGGGGCCCGATGCCCGTCGCCCCCCGCCTGGGGCCCGGTGTGCCTGTCGCCCCGCCTGGGGGCCCCGTGCACTGTCCGCCCCGCCCGGGGCCCGGTGCCTGCTCGCCCCGCCGGGGGCCCGGTGCCTGCCCCCGCCGGGGGCCCGGTGCCTGCTGCTCCGCCCGGGTGCCCGGTGCCTGCTGCTCCGCCCGGGGGCCCGATGCCTGCCTCCGCCCGGGGCCCGGTGCCTGCTGCTCCGCCCGGGGGCCGGTGCCTGCTGCTCTGCCCGGGGGCCCGGTGCCTGCTGCTCCGCCTGGTAATGCCCGATGTGCCTCTTGCCCGGAGTCCTGCCCGATGTGCCTCTGCCCGGAGTCCTGCCCGATGTGCCTCTGCCCGGAGTCCTGCCCGATGTGCCTCTGCCCGGAGTCCTGCCCGATGTGCCTCTGCCCGGAGTCCTGCCCGATGTGCCTCTGCCCGGAGTCCTGCCCGATGTGCCTCTGCCCGGTGTGCCTCTGCCCGGTGTGCCTCTGCCCGATGTGCCGCTGCCCGGAGTCCAGCCCGGTGTGTGCCGCTGCCGGAAGTCCTGCCCGGTGTGCCAGTCTTTGATATCCCGCCAGTTGCCAGACCCGGGCGGTGGAACATTTTGCCCAGCTAGGACTGTTTGGAGCGTCCTGAGGGCCGCTCCTTGAGGGGGGGGGGTACTGTTAGGAATGGACTGGCCAGCAATGGTGGGACTCACCTGCCTTTTGATCTGCAGTACCAGGGCTGGCCAGCGGGTGCTCCCAGCAATCAGAGACTCAACCTTTCAGCCAGCTAACACCTGGAACTGATGATACTGGGGTATTTAAGGGATGGCCAGACTTGCAGACTCTGCCTTGGTGTTGTGTTTGTCCTGGGCCCTTTATCTGTCCTGCATCCTGTTTCTGTTCCTTTGCTGACTTCTCCTGCTCTGATCCTGGCTTGTGACCCTGACCATCCCCCTCTGTCTGACCCTCTGTACTACGCTGCTTGCTACCTGTTCTGATCCCTGGCTTGTGACCCGGACCATCCCTCTGCCTGACCCTCTGTACTATGCTGCTTGCTACCTGCTGAACCTGGCCTGTGACCCCGACCATTCTCCGCTTGCTCCCCCTGTACCTACCTGCCCAATTGATATTGACCCGGCCTGCCTGACGACGCTTGCTTGTATATACTGTTATCTGTGGGTGGTTTGGGTTTGGTTTGTTTGCACGTATTATGTTTTAGTATTGCACTGCGTTTATGTTTGTACTGTTAGTGTTAATAAATTATATTGTTTATAACATATCTGAGGTCTGCGTTTCCCTGCTTCAGTCACACACCTCTGGTCATATACCTGGGAGCCCTGACAGCTCTACACCAAGTTCACTATATGAACCACTGATGTATATTATACATGTTGTTCATTTATGCCCTGTCAGGGAAGGCCCTACATGCGGGCGAGTGCCTGTCACTAATGTTGGCACAAAAGGGCTATTTAAACTGGCTGCAGTAGTTGTCCTATTGCCGTTATGGTTCTTTTCCCTGCTCCCGTGTTCCCTGATTCCTGTGGATTGATCCTGATTACCGAACAGCCTGGTTCCTGATCTCCGCTTGATTGCTTCCTGCCCTGACCTGTGGCTTGTCTTTGGATTATTCTCCTGTCTCTGCTTTTGTCTGATTGATCTTCCGTTGCTGACCTGGCATTTGTGACCTACTACTCTTCCTCCTGCTGCTGGTTTTGTAAGACTGATCTGACTGATACCAAACCCGGCTCGTCTGACCCTGCATCCTCAGCACTTCGATGTGCTAAAGTATCCATCCATCCCGCACGGTACATCAGAACCCTGCTCCTGGCCTGCAACTCATCAGCTCACCTTGCTATTACTGGATTGATCACAGGCACTCATACCCCACCGTGCCCCTGTGACGCTGTCTCACCATCAGCATGCCAGGTCCTTGAGTTCCGGAGTTGTACGGGAAGCCTGCCTCTTCACGTCAGGCGCACTATTAGGTACGTGACAATTACCCCTTAATCTCCTCTTCTCAGGAATGAGAGAATAAATTCAAGTTCCTCTAAAAATCTTTCTCATAGCTGATCTCCTCCATGCCTTGTATCTTTTTTGTTTGTAGACCCCTTCTCTTGTACTTTCTCAAGTTTCCCCAAATGTTATCACTTTTATGAATTGGTGCCCAAAACGGAACTGGTATATTCTAGATGAGGTATTACTAATGATTTGTCACTTTTGGATGGATATTGAAATCTCTCTCTCTGGTGTCTATATCTCTTTTATACAAGAGAGGATTTTGCTCGCTTTTTAGAAACCACAGCTTGATCCTTGCATTGCCATTATTAGATGGCTTGTGATCTACCAAACTCCCAGATCCATCTCTGGGACTCACTAATTGGATTCCCCCATTGTGTATCCCCTAGTTTGTCTGTATGCTCCATGGCATACTTTTTCTTACAATCCCCAAGTGCATAACCTTACATTTTATCAACATTCAACCTCATTTGGCACATAGTATGCCAATTAAACAGTGCATTCTAATGTATAGAGTCCAGCTTGTACATTGAAGACATCTGTACGGACGTTATTCCATGATCACAGCTTGGTGCCAATCTACAGAGGCTGCAAAGACTAGAAAATGGTATTTTAGTAATCTCAGACCCTATATCGAGTTTATAAATATATTATAAATAAGGGTTCCCAACACTGTAACCCTGGGGTACACCACTGATATACCCCAGACCATTCAAGAGTACAATGAATCATTAATCACTACTCTCTGAAGTACGATCTTTTAGCCAGTTTTTTATCCATTTACATAGGGATTTTTCCAAGCCTTGTTGACTTTACGTAATACACATTAGCCATGTTGTGGGGAACTGTGTCTAATCTTTTGCACAAATCCAAAGCTAGGGACCACGTGCCCACCGAACTCCACCACTCTGTCCCCAAGGTTTTGCTCACCCCCTCAATAAAAAGAAATCAGTGGGATTTGTTTGACAACTTCTGTCTATTCATGATTGATCCCATGCTGTCCTGTTGCTTAAAATATTTTTTTTCCAGCAAGAACTCATCTTATTGGTCTTTTACTAAAACTCTCCAGTATCTGGGGACCCACTATAGAAGTTAAATTAATTGCAGGTCTGTAAATTAATTGGTAAAGACCTTTGACCCATTTTTAAAATATTGGCACCACATTGGCTTATAGCCAATCCAGTGGTACAATTAGGGTTCCATCATTAAAGAGACACTAAAAATAGAAAGAAACAATGGCTTTCAAATTACAGGCAGAACTCAATATTTTTAAGGACCCCGTGGGCCCACGATATGCGATATTCAGTGTCCAGGAGACTTTTATGATATAGTCACCTTTTACACTGTCTAAATATCTTTTTGGAGCATATCGGATATAGTGAACGCAATGGCGATCCACTCTGGAGCTGGTCAGATATCAAACAGCTTATGATAAAGGAGAAGGGCTACCTCCAAGGCAACCTGCCCTTAATCTATACACTGCTGGTTTATACTCTTGCAGAAGACATTGGGATAACTGTGCCTAATCTTAGTCACCGGTGGTTCACAACACTACTTATGAATTAAAATTTCATGATTAGTGGAGGGATCGGATATTTCAGATGCGATTTCGAAGGCTTTAGTTATGTCTGGATGTTGTAATAGGATTTTCAACGTATTTCTGGCATAGATCTCACAACCTTTTGCTTTAACTTTCCCAGCCTGTGTGCCCCAGATTCTGGGTGGGCAATAGAATGTACAGAATTGAGGCATCCAGATGCGAGAATGAGAAACTATTTCTAGAAATCGCAGCGTTGCCTGCAAAATGCCTTTGCACACAGTGTATAATTGCGGACACTTGAGACAAGGTTCTCGTCATTCAGTTCATGGACGGCGCAATTCAATGTCAATCAAATTGTGTCCAGTGTGATTTTGGAGTTAGGAAGCGTCCGCAGACCGCAGTCTCATACGAGGAGCTCGTCTCATGAAATTCGAGATCTGGTGCTAGTTATGAATGCGATCCTCAATAATTCATTCTGTTCAGGCCTTGTTTGGGATCAGTGCAGGGCCGGATCTAATGTGGTACCAGTCTCTGGAACATCGCGGGCGTGCACAGTGAAAATCATATTAGGGCACCTGAACTGTATCGTTCCTTGAACTCTGTGTTTTGCGTATAAAGTCACTTAGTGATTCTGCTGCAATCCATATAAGTTAGTCGGACCCTCTAACCTAGACCAACGTATTTGAATGAAGCCGCCCCTTCCATTGAAAGTTCAGGTCACACATGCCACATTTCTGGATACTGCCTGCACTTTAAGCTCACAGATTTCGCAAGACTCATTCATAGGCAGCCCCACCTGATCCATTTATGTTGTTCCCTATTTGCATAGTTGGTCTCACTACAGATGCCGATCCATCACATGTTTACATTACGTGTTAAAGTGCGTTCATTTTTTTACTATTTTCTTTCTTATTGAGAACCTAGTGCGAGTTGATGCTAGCATGTATCTCGAGGTAGCTAATTCCAGATTGCAAATTGGTGATAGATAGCAGTTAGTGGCATGGACAGGAAGTTATAAGGGTGTCATGGACTTGCAGGATCATTGACAGGAGTTTTTACATTTAAGTGAAAACTGTGGATGCGATTTTAACATTTTGAGCCAATCAGAAGACGTTTCAATATTAT